CCAGGAACAGAAGAGTAGGAGATGTAATGAGCTCCATACCATTGCTACAGCGCTTTCTTTCTCCTCCTGATACGCCTCTTATAAACTCTGTACCAATCTTGAAGACATATCTATTTAACACATTTATATTGGTTCTGTCAACCAATTAAAAAAAAAAACTAATTAATTGCACTTTTTCTGTAATTATTCACAATTAATCACACCTAACATGAAAATTTGTAATCATAAGTATATTTTCACACTGAATTTCCAAATTAATACTGAAGAAGGTATATTTTAAATATTTGTATAATTGAAATTTTTTTACTAAGTACTATGAATGAAATCAAGCATCACAAATACCAGTGCTGGCACTGGTGCCTCTGTTAAATGGATTTTTAAAATACATTTCTGAGGATATAATGAGTAAATATAGCACATCATTTTTAAAGGTGGGGTAAGCGATTTCTGGTAGCCAATGTTGACATTTGAAATCACCAAAACAAACATGCCCCTACCCCAAAAGTGTCTCGCCCATATTTTGATAGCTCCACCCCACACATACGTACGCAACCCAGGCAACGATTAGTTCTGTGATATATATATATATATATATATATATATATACAGTATATACATATCCATGGTCTACACTGGATGCGGCGCGGCACGACACGACGAATCCCCGACAGAAAACTGCTGCGTTCTATTTATGACGTATTGACACAAATTTCAAAAGATTTTCAACGGTCGCTTTATCGTCTCCAGTGTAGACAGACAGTAGTTGTTGCGGCGGTGTAGACACGGTGTTACTCACCTATCGAGAAGAAACAAAGCAACCTCGGCGTCCGATCGCAGGCCTTCCGCTCCTTGAGTTCTCTCCAGGCGCTGGAAAGCTGATCCGATATTTACACGGGTCCTACTTCTTGCCTTATTGCCTTAAGCCTTCTTTTGTTTCCGCAGACATTTTCCCCTTTTGATTTTTATCAGCCATCTCTATCTTTCTGTCGCTCGGCTCGGCTTATGTCCGTCCTGTGCACTGAACGCTCTCTCCTTCACATTATGAGTAGACACGCCCCTTACTGCTATTATTATTATTTTTTATTTAAGTGTCAGTAGCATTTGTGACTAACCTTGGTGTCTGCACAGTCCTCTAATCCCAGCTCCTGAATGATGCTCTCCACTTTTTTTTTTTCTTATCAGCAGTGGAATACTGTTTCCTTGGCAACCACAGATTTCCAGAGAATAAAAGATTCTCCCGCACAGTCAGAGTGTCCATCAGGATATCATCCTACAGAAGGAGACAGACAGACAGACAGACATAGAGCAAAGAAAATGTTAAGAATAAAACACAATTAAATGAATGTGTTTGATTTTGAGCAAAGCAAAAGATTGGAACAGGAGACAAAATAATTCTATTACATAATAATCTTCCCCACATTAACACTTACATGTGTTACACAACAGAGCAGAATATTCCTTTAACCTCACAAGTAGACATACTAATGACTGTAAAATTCTGCATTCTCACCTGTACGACATAGGCAGACATAAGACGGAGGTCAGAGGTCACGACCTTGTTGTCCACCACAACTTGACCTGAACGTAAACCACGAGGATCTTTCCTACCAGCGAGCACATCTAACAACCTTCACACAAAAAATAAATGTTAGAAATTGTGTGTAGTTGCCAGCTTGTGGTAATTCTATAGTCTGCTGATTCTGTGAGCATCTTACGATGTTTTGCCACTTCCTGTTGCTCCCATGACTGCATTCAAGCCCGTTTTCATGATTCCACTAAAACAGGAAATATCAAAGCAGTCTTATAAGTGCACTGTAAAAATGTTTATCAAACAACACAAAAAGAGTAAAGACATTAAGGGTGGGGTAAGTGATTTCTGGTATTTGAAATCACCAAAACAAACACGCCCCTACCCCAAAAGGGTCGCTCGGCTAATGTCCGTCCAGTGCACTGAACGCTCTCTCCTCCACATCATGAGTAGACACGCGCCTTACTGCTGATTGGCTACAAGTTTGTTTGGTACTCGGCCCGACTCAGTTTTCTAAAGCGTTTTTGAAAAACTACATACCCCACCTTTAAAGTAAAGACATTTATAATGTTACAAAAGATTTCTATTTCAAATAAATGCCGTTCTTTTGAACTTTCTATTCATCAAAGAATCCTGAAATAAATTTAAAAAAAACTTTCACACAAATATTAAGCAGAGTGACTGTTTTCAACATTCATAATAATAAGAAATGTTTCTGAATATTAGTAAGTATAGAGCAGTAAATCAACATATTAGAATGGCATCTAAAGGATCATGTGACACTGAAGACTGGAGTAATGATGCTGAAAATTCAGCTTTGCATCACAGGAATAAATTATATATTTAAATATATTTTTAAAAAACAGTTATTTAAAATTTCAACAATATTTCAAAATATTACTGTTCTTATCGTATTTTGATTAAATAACTGCCAACTTGGTGAGCATAAAAGATTCTTTCAAAAACATAAAAAAATCACTAGTGTATAATTTATCATACTAAATAATAGTTCACAATTTCACAAAGTCCCTTTTTTATTTGACAGTTAATTTAAATGTTATTGCACGAGGCATATTTTTGGTTATCTGAATTGATTATGATGTATGCAACAAAAGTGCAGTCTATGTATATAGCAGTGATATATAATGACACGACAAATCCCCAACAGAAAACTGCTGCTGCGTTCTATTTATGACGTATTGACACAAATTTCAAATGATTTTTTTATCTCGTCCAGTGTAGACAGACTTTACATCACTGGCTCAACCAATGGGATGAGATTAGGGTGGGACTATGAGGTTATTTGACCAATGACAGACAGGAAACATAGTTTAAAAAACAATGATTCTTTTTAGCAATACTGTTTAGTGCTTCTAGTGGCACTCAGAATTTTAGAAGAGATCTCAATTTAAAAAAAAAGCATTTTATTCTTTTTTTAACTTCTTAAAGTTATGAAAATTGACAGTAAAGACTTTTATAATGTCACAAAAGATTTATTTTTTCAAATAAATGCTGTTCTCTTTAACTTTCTATTCATCAAAGAATCCTGAAATAAATTTAAAAAAAACTTTCACACAAATATTAAGCAGAGTGACTGTTTTCAACATTCATAATAATAAGAAATGTTTCTGAATATTAGTAAGTATAGAGCAGTAAATCAACATATTAGAATGGCATCTAAAGGATCATGTGACACTGAAGACTGGAGTAATGATGCTGAAAATTCAGCTTTGCATCACAGGAATAAATTATATATTTAAATATATTTTTAAAAAACAGTTATTTAAAATTTCAACAATATTTCAAAATATTACTGTTCTTATCGTATTTTGATTAAATAACTGCCAACTTGGTGAGCATAAAAGATTCTTTCAAAAACATAAAAAAATCACTAGTGTATAATTTATCATACTAAATAATAGTTCACAATTTCACAAAGTCCCTTTTTTATTTGACAGTTAATTTAAATGTTATTGCACGAGGCATATTTTTGGTTATCTGAATTGATTATGATGTATGCAACAAAAGTGCAGTCTATGTATATAGCAGTGATATATAATAATTAAATAAGTGGCATTGTTGTTGTACTGAATATAAAGTACTGTTTACCATTTTTGTTATAAAAATAATAGAAAAATAATAGAAAAACAATTCAAAAATTTGTTATATTTCTTGTGAAAAGAAAAGAAAAGAAAAGAAAAAACATTACTGCACAAACAATATGGAGAACTATAATTTCAGTACTTCTTTTTTTCATTCTAATCTCTAAACATCTAAACTCTGGACAAATTTTGGGTGATATTTTAGCATTAGGTCACAAAACAGTTTCTTTCCGGATATAACAACACTAAAACACATAGAAAGACATTGATACACACATGCATACCAAAAAGCTCTGGGAAGCACATCTTAAAGATAACTGTTATCGGTATCAAAATAGTCTGCAATCTACATTTGACTACACAGCAGTATGTTTTGCCGAATATGATCTATGTCAGATGTCAATTCTTATGAAGCATGTAACTGTCTCGTGAATAAGACAGTCAGCTCTAACTGTTTCTACAGCACATCAACACAGACATTAACCTGATGTTTTTTTAGGATTTCTCGCTCAGGTCCTCTCTTGCGGCATGGTCCACGTCTTTCTCTAATGCAGTAATGAATATTCTGGTAAATCAGAGTTGGGCCCGGCACCTTACACACACCGTTGTGCCATCACTTTCCCCAGCAGGCAACACTTTTAGCTTACACACATCCATGGCGCTGGAGAGACTGAGGCAGAGAAGACGAGAGAAAAAGTGACAAGCTTCCAGGTGGAATGAACATTTAAGAGTCTATTGACGCCCCACCGTTTCAGGACCTTATACTCCAGACATGAATTACCAATACAACCTGAGGTCACTGCGTGTCTCCTGTCAAAGTCCTTGCACGCCCCAGTTCTACCTAACACTTGCTGACAACCTTGCGCCGGGTGTATGATAGGGCCCATAGTGTGACAACTGATATTTCTATGCATTTTATGTAAATAGTCTGCTATACTGTTATAAAGATCTCATAGACTTACATTACAAGCTGTAAGAATTTCATCTTACTTTTTGGCCATAAAAATATCAGCAGCTGAACCAAATTGCATATTTTTGCTGTTTGGGTCTCTGAATAAAATCGATTGTGAGCCCCATATTCTTCTTTATGATGTAGGCTATCAAATATGTAACTCAAAAACAAACAAAAAAAAACTATGCAAAAAAAAAAATGCAAACTATTTTTAGATTTATTTTTATATTTTGTCTCAATTCTCAATAAACTGTTTCATTAAAAAAATGTATGACTATTATTTCATGTCAGTTTTTAGCTACAAGGTTAAATAAAAATGTAGAATGACGCTGTCATGTTTTCTTAGAGGGAATGATCTAGTCTTGTGTATATACATAAAAGAGAAGCGTTTTAAAATATGCCACCGCGAAGTTGTATTTTCTCTAAATTAGTTTACTACATGTGAAGACTTCAGTGACTTTAAATTGGTACCAAGTGGTTTTTGTGCAAAGTTCCTTTCAAGGAATTCAAGTATTTCTAAAGTCTTTGATTCGTGTACACTTGTATGATGACGCCCTCTGTAGACCAAATAAGGTAATCACAACAGGCTGTAAAATCAAAATCTCTTCTCTTTGTTTAACCGACGCCTACTGTAATGAACAGAAGAGCAACAGGATAAGACTTTGGACACTGGCTGCATGAAATGGGCCTTGCGCAATCTTGCGTTCCTACTCAGTGTACTTGAGGCTCAAGTATTTGGTGTGGCAGTTCACATAAACTGGGGCGGTGTCTTCATTCATTGTCACTCCGTGACAGATGACAGACAGTTGACGCATCTAATGAACTGTTGAGCCGTTGACGCCCAACCACGCCTCCACATGACTGTAGCTAATGAGCGTCGAGCATAACTCATGAGGGCGGGGTTTGAGTCTCGGCAACGTTAAGTTGTTTTCATCGACCGTGTGGCAGAAGTGCAAGCACCGTTGGCTATGCAGACGTAAACTAACAGCTGTCGATGAGGCCGCCGCCGACAATCGACCACGGCCGGGTTTAATCACCACGGAGAACTTTTTAGGCGAACGTTAGAGCATTACAGCTGCGGTTTAAGTGTTTTTGTGGCCATGGAGGAGAAGAAGGAGGAGGGAGAAGCGGAGATCCAGGAACACGGACCCGAGCACTGGTTCTCCAAATGGGAGCGGCAGTGCCTAGCCGAGGCCGAGCAAAAAGAACCGAGTGAAGAGGAGACCGAACAGAGCCAACAGAAACTCTGGCATCTTTTCCAGAACTCCGCCACCGCCGTCGCACAATTGTATAAAGGTGCGGCATGTATAATAAGTCACCGAGAGCTAGTCTTGGCTGGTTAGCTGACACTGGCAAACAAAGGACACTAACTCATAAGCTCAACGGATAACCACCCAACTAAATCGAATGCTATCAAATTAAGATGCCGACGGGTTATTTTATAGTGAAAGACACATTCAGGGCTTAATTCACATTATTTCGCCTCTTTATTTGGCTGTTTTGAAGGTCGGTGGCGTTACAGATTAGCATTGATGCTAAGTGGCAGACGAGCAACGTAAACTGACACACAAATCCGTTTCTGTGAGGATACAGTCCAGAAATGTCACTGGTTACCCGTCTTTGTTTATTAATAAAACTAGTTACAGTACATTTAAACGCCTTTTACGATATTTTTTTGTGATATTAAAAGCTTCACCCAGCTGGATGTCTGTCAGCAAAACAAAATGGCGAAGTGCAGGGAGGAGTTCATCTGATGAAAATAACTCGATTTGTGAGCGAAAACTCCTCTGTTATGAACTCAAACGTCATATATGTAGACAAAAAGATCTAGGAATACAAACTACGTTATGAATTGATGAAAACGTGAGGTTTTTCTTTAACAACAATAATAGTATGCGAAACAAAATGGCGAAGGCAGGATTAGCAGGCTAAATTCAAAGATTGTGAGTTATTGTGTCAGAGCTGGTTTTGTTGACATTTGTTGTTGAATTGATACAACTAAAAAGTTGGTTTAAATTGCGAAAACACAATGTTTTCATACACAAAGTTGTGGTTTGGACAACCCGGTACAATCAGATAAACTAAAGCTACTCAACAAAATGGCGTAGTGTCCTCTTGCTACATATCAAATTTAGACGTCGTGTAATTAATGGCTGTGTCTCAAAACACAGAGAGCTGCTTATGTAGACCGCACTTATGGTCATCATAGACGCATTTAGAACATTCCAAGCGCGCTTATGCTGCCCAAAAGTGCAGTTTAAGTAGGCAGCTCACTATCTCATGACACACAGCCAGTGTGAGAGGCAGTTAAGGTACTAAGTATAAAGCAGATGGTGGTTTAGTTGTCTTGGGTGTTTTCTTGTCTTTCTTTAAATACAGTGGGTAAATATGTGTCTTATTCGGACGGGAAATGATGTATCTCCACTTGCAACGTAAACATTTCCTGTCTGCTCACTCCCTCAGATAGAGTATGTCAACAACAGGGGCTTTCCTTGTGGGTTCCCTTTCAAAATGCTGCAACTGCCGTCACTAACCTATACAAAGGTAAGTTGAGAAACAGACTGTTGCGTTCTAGGCAACTGTTTGTGGTTTGTCGTTAATTGGCAGGATTTCAAAGACAACAGGCCCATGTATATACTACATGCATACTAAGCATATTAGTGACCACACCAACATATACTGGTGTCAGTACCAACGGAAACGTTCTGCTTATAATAAGCACAGGTTACAGTTATGTCGTCTGTTGCTTTAGATGCTTGAGCTCTTTAAAGTCAAGTAGATTCTGATTGGATAATGTTTTTAGCGTTTATCAGCTAGAAAAAAAATAGCTCCGAAAGTGATTCCATCGATATCATTCCTCAACATGTTATTGTTCTAGTTGTGACATGAACTTCCCTATTCTCATAGAATTAGAACAATTATTAAAACTTTATAGTTATCGTTACAGCTCTCATCATTGGTGTGAATGAGCATTAACTATAGCACAAACCAGTAGCATTTGAGTGTAGGCTGTAAGGAGCAATATAATTGGTTGGACCTACACTCTCTAAAATGTACCTTTAAAGCAGAGTTGTAAAGAGTACCTAAAAACCAAACTTGAGTAAAAGTACAGATACCTTACAGTGAAAATTACTCCACTACAAGTTAAAAGTCACCAATTTCAAAACAACTTGAGTAAAAGTCTTAGAGTATCTGATTTAAGCAGTACTTCAGCAGATGCATACCTTTTTCCCAAGGAGTACATGTGCTCCTATGTTGAAAAATTTAGGAGCACATTAAAAAAAAATTTCAACATAGGAGCAAATTTTTCAAATTACGTGTTTTAGCTTAATAAAGGGATATAAGGAGACATTTCATGTTAGCTCCATTAAATATTAGCAGACACAACTTTTGATTTTATAATGTATCATTAAAAGTTGAAATTAACATGAATCAAGATTAATAAATGCAGTCAGTGTTATTTCATGTTAACTAATGTAGTTAACTAATAATGGAACCTGTTAAGTGTTACCGAACAATAATAACAAATCAGTCAATATATAGGTAGGCCATGTTTTAGGTTAGATTAAAATAAAATTTAAGAAAAAAGTTTAAGTTTGAAAATAAATAGCTTAAGTCTTTAACGGTGCTGTATGTAGGATTGACACCGAGTGGTTGAACTAGGTATTGCAGTCCAAATTCTAAATATTGGAGAGGGTTTTTTTCACCCGGCCCCCCCTCCTCAAACTTGACGCACACGCAGGTTGCCAGATTGACGACACCAACAGGAACGAGTGCATTGAAGATGAATGAAATGAAATGCGCTGTTTTCCGCCAACTGGCAACCCGGGGTGCCGAAATACAATTGGGTAAACTGTCAGTGGGCGGGTTTCACAAACCAAAACCGCACATTTTCAAAGGAGAATAACTGACTGTAGCATTGTTTTTCAGATTAACAAGTATGTTAACTTATCATGTTTCTTAAATATCTGCAAACATATTATGGTATTTTTATGCTTTAGTAGAGTCAAAAACTTATATACAGCACCTTTAAGTATTAACAAAGTCCTTTTAAGAAAAGTCATGTCACTCGGCGGCCATCTTTGAAACGCCTCTCGGGCATGCAAGTGCAGCTCCTATATCTTTGAATGGGGAAAAAGATCTGATCTTTCACTGGCTGATCTAGCCTGAAAAATAAGCTTTATTTAACGCTATTTGAGCAAAATAAACAACATTTATGATATAGCTGATGTCAGATTTCATTGGTGATTTCAAATATGAAATTTAATCGTAAGCTTAGTGAACAGCTTTGGAGAATTTGATGTTTCCTCATTCAAAGAGATAGGAGCTGCACTTGCATGCCCGAGAGGCATTTCAAAGATGGCTGCCGAGTGACATGACTTGCCTTAAAGAGACTTTGTAAGCGCGCATCTCAGAGCGCTGTTTCTAAAGCAACCGGGACTTCTAACGGCAGCTGCAGTGACGTGCTGACTTTACCGATTAGCGATTGGCTCTTTCATTCAGAAGGCGGGGCTTCCTGCAATTGAGCGGCCATATTGACCGTTGCGTTTTTCCCCATTCAACACTATACAAGTGACACATTATTTGGTCACATCAACATTTGGTGCTATGGTGAAGACTAAAGCGAATATAAATATCTAAATGGCTGTTTGAAACAAAGTAGCAGCTGTTTTGTTTACAGGGTTACTGAGGTAACGGCTGCATTTCTGCCTCTGGCAGCACCCTCTAGTGCCGAATGTGTACTTTCATTCAGCGCGTCTCGTTCTGCGTCATCTGTGCTAAATCGTCGCCTTTTTAAAGTTCAATAATCATATGAGGCTGTATCGCTGTTTTTCCATAAATTGATGAAATTAATACATTTGTTATAGGCTACCGTGTAAGTTAGGATGTAAATTTACATCCTAACCAAAAAATAAATTTTATTAGCACTCATGCTCCTAAATACATTTTCCAGTTCGCAGACATCTATTTTTAGTCGCAAATGTGAGTGAAATGCTCGCACTGTAAGCCCTGTTAAGTATTTTACTCGTACTGAATATAGGCTCAAAGATGCACTAGTCAAAGAGACATGCCAGTGGAAAAACAAGAGAGTTGATTTGTGAGGAGAGCAATCGCGTTTATTTTCTAAAACCAAAAATAAAACTGAACACCTCAAAAAAAGAACAAAAAAGTCCCTCAAAAAGGTCTCTTTAGTATAACGGATAAATAATATAATGTTAAGTATTTATTTGTTTTAACTTTGTTTTGTTTATTGAACTTTTACAATAATAACAGAATAGTGATAAAATAATGTTAAGTAAAATCAATGCACATTCTTGCATTAGATGACCTGGTTTCGGCCTCAATGCCATTGCTAAGGAACTCGCATACACGTTAAGTAGCCTTGTTGACAAGTTTGGGTAAGGACAAAACACACAAGATGTTGTACTTTCAGTGCCCTGTAGTTGGCAATATCAAATAAACTGCTGCCATGTTAGGTGTCATGCAAAATGTAATGTGAAATTGCAACACTCATTACGAATATAGTGAAGTAGAGAGTAAAGGTTGCTAACATCTTTGATGCTCAGTAAAACTACAGAGTATCCAAAAAGATACTCAAGTACAGTAATTAATTACATTTACTCATACTTTACACACCTGCTGTAAGGTACTAATATGTACCATTTAGAGTCAGTGTTTTGAGTCTGAACAATATTTGAAGCGACAAGGCAGCTTGTTCGTGAATGAATAGCTGCTGACTGACTGAACAATAATTGTTGTTTGTTAAATTCGTCATGTGAGTGAATCTCGGTTACAACAAAAATATAATAACGTTGAAAGGGTTTGGCTGTGAAACACTGTTTTCTAATGAATTGGGTAAGTAAACAATTCAGTGACTCCTAGCACAAATAAGACACTTTGTAACCTGCAGAAAGAACCACAGAACAAATTACTTTTTTTGAGAAGAATTAAAATCCCAGCCACTAATTTTCCAATTAAAATAAATCTGTTGAACAGTGTTTAGTAGGTTGTTCATATGCTGGAGACTAGCAACAGCATGGCCGACAGCAATTCTTAAAGAGCAGGTCATATGGTATTTTAAAGTGTCCTAATATTGTGTTGGAGTCCCCTACAACAGGTTTAAATGCATCTAAGGTCAGAAAACATTGGAATTTTCTCAGAAAATACATTTAATATTGGAGTCATTTGCCAATGATTTCTAAATGATTCGTTCCAAGCAAGTTCGGAGCAAACCCCTCCCTTCCATAAGCCTACTCTGCTCTGATTGGTCAACTGGCCAAGCCTGTTGTGATTGGCACAGAGAGGAGTCCTTGAGCAAGTATAGCGAGCGCTACTATTGACAAAGCACCTTTGCATAAAACAACAATATAGTGCTCCAGTCCATTCTTCTAATAATGACATAAAATACAAAAACACTAATGCTAGCGAATCGTGCCCACAGCTAAAGTTTAGCTGTTAAACTGTGAACACTTAAAACAATAATGGTGGATACGTTAGCCGAGTGCTAACGTGACTAACTGATGAAACGATACAGTTTGTAAACCAAAATATGTCTACTGTAATGTTCGAAGAACGACAGACAAAAGACGCTCTGTCTTAACATTTAATCAGAACGCAGAACAGCTGTATCAGGCGCAGCAGCCTAACTCGCTCGTCTTTCCCGCCTTAACTCTATAACTGCTGGTGCAGCAAAATAAACAGCAATTTCACATTGATTATAAAGTCTGTGTGCTACACTACATTCTTTATTAAACGAAGTAATTAGAACAACGTCAAGTCTACATTAATCGACACATTCTTAAGAAATAGTGGGTTCACAGTGAATTATAAGAACTACTTCAGTAAGACAGTAATATCGTACTTTACCTGGAAACCTAAAGCTGCACTAGGTATACATCATATTAGCACAAAAACTTGATATTTTGAGCACTCAATTTAAAATGTACACATAATGTATCAATCATACTTACAGGTTGTGGTTCGGAGAGCTTGTTGGTCCAAATTAAGAAAATTAGAAGCCAACGAAGATAAAAGCCAAGATTAGAGAAGCAGTTCTCGGTAAAGTGACGAGCACAACAAAAGGTTCGAATTGTACTTCTGTGGAATCCTTGAACGCAGTGTCTTCTCAACATGATGTAAACACACTAACTAGCGGAAGTGTTTGTGGGCAGGTCAGACTCTGTTTGTATTTCGCGGGCAGGCGGGGATTAAGCAAATGTGTTACCCAGTGACGTATACTGGTAACAGGCGAAAGATTCGAAAATATGACGACTCGTTAAGGCGATTTAGAATCGACATTCTCTTTTGAGAGAGAATATTTATCATGCACTTTTTTTATTAACAACTTTGCAGATTGTTTTCATTTAAGGATAACTACGTTATAAACTGCAAAAGAGATATTTTTCAAAAACCCATATGACCTGCTCTTTAAAATCCTGTTGATTTATTCCTCTCTCCTGACAGAAACTTTCATTGTTACAGTAGAAGTCTTATTCACAGCCTAGAATAGTTGTGTATTATAGATTGCAGTAATGGGACCTTAAACCCATCACATACGTGTACAGCATTGTCTGCTATAGCAAAACTTGAGTCATTCAGAAGTTTGTCTGTTTGGTTGCGGTGATGAGAGATGATGTGGTGGGGAGGATATCAGATGTGTCATGTGGATGATTTGAGTCACGTTATTAGAAGCTGTCAGGAACAGGGAGTGTTTGTGTGTTCAGTTTACTGGAGATTACTGCCTACATATTGACTGATTTAGCAAGTTGGCTATTGTGAGACGTTTTCAAAGCATATAGGATGTGATCAGATCAAGTTTGATTGCCTGCTTACGGTGTTCTGTATTTATCAATCAATCAAAAGTTCAGTGTGTAAGTTCACCAGAAATTCAGTCCAAGTGTATTTTCTATAGTCCCTCATTTTTCTTCTAACTACCTTGGTGAGATTTTAGCATCTCTTGAATCATTTCATGCACCCCATCTCAAGGTTTTGTAAGCGTATAATTCATTTCAGTCTAGTTCCAGCCTAGCAATGGAAATCCTGTCAATTGAAACAAATCTTCATGCCTGCCAGTTATGATTGAGGTGGTATATTTGTTGCCTATTATGGATTGAAAATAATATTTTGAAGAACAGTGGCTGCTGTTCCTGAGGATATGATGCTGCTGTTCTGGCAGAATGAAAATGTATGGTGTTGTGCAATTGCTTTGGAAGTTGATGATGTAACATTTACATAATTACATTATTAAACGCTTCTTATTTGAATCATCAGCAATAATTTACCTGCTGTTCAGTTTCTCCCTCATATGAAATACTTGCTCTCTGCTTGATGCCGTATTAACATTTTCTGAATTCAAAAGCTCTTATTAGAATTTTTAAAAGAGACTGACATCACTGAGCATAAAACACTAGGAGACATTGATGCAGCTGGGCTGATTCCTGATATACGTACAGAAATGCTCATGCTTTTTCTTTTTTTTTTTTTTTTTTTCTTATCTTCCAGAGAGTGTTGATGCCCATCAGCGGAGTTATGAGCTGGGTATTCAGATTGGTCATCAAAGACGAAATAAAGATGTCCTGGCGTGGGTGAAGAAAAGGAGGCGGACTATTCGGCGTGAGGATCTTATCAGCTTCCTATGTGGTAAAGCCCCACCACCACGTAGTTCCAGGGCTCCGCCAAGACTTGCAATGGTGTCGCCAAGCCGACCCACATCCTCGGAGACAAGTTCATCTGTAGAAACAGACCTGCAGCCTTTCAGGGAGGCCATTGCTCTGCATGGTGAGTGAGCTTGACGACAGTGCCATTTAATTGCTTGATTGCTGTAGGTCCATTTTGCAAAATGGAAATGCTTGCATTACACGCATGCATGCATACACACACACACATATATACATATATATATATATATATATACATACACAGTAGTCAACACTTGAAGTGGATCAAAAAAGTTAATCAAAGTTGTCCTAAGACAATAATGGGTATTGTTTTAATTGTTTTAAGACAACTTTGATGAAAGGTTTTGATCCACTTCAAATGTTGACTACTGTGTGTGTGTATGTATGTGTATATATATATATGTATATATATATGAACAGCAAAGAAATTTGTCTTATGATATTCTTTGAAGCGAATAATATAAAGCGCTTCCTTGCTTTGGGCAATATGAGTTGTACACTTTTTCACAGCAGCTCGTTCTATGGCCTCTGGCATTGTTCGTAGAAATCATACTGCCCAATACAGGTAAGGTTTTCAGAGCACAAAAACTGGAATCACTGATGATAGTTCCTTTTTACACAGCCCTGCACATGAAATGCGGGCAAAAGTGTTTTATTAATTTGTTACCTTTTCATTTACTCATGGCCACAATTTACAATTGTGTTTCCTCATGTTTTTTTATATACCAAAGGATGCAGCATGAATAATGAGGGTTATTAGCATTTATTACGGCCCTTCACTAAGGAGAGTGAAGAGGAGAGATGTTTAATAATGTCAAGAGAAAAGGAATAAAAACAGAATAATGTTAAGAGGAGACAGAGAAGTTTGGCAAATACACGATGTATCTTCAAGATTTGTTTTTGTTGGCTGATGTTGTGCATTTAATTGTACATCTGCATTTTCCTTATTTTTACATTTGAGTGACTTTTGCCATCATCTAATGCTCACTTAATGTTTATTTATACACATTAATAATTTAATAACACTGTTAAATGTAGTCTTCAGCAGATCTCAAAATGAATATAAATTTTTTATATGCCCAAATTCAACAATTCATTTTAGTTTTTAGTGTTACATTTTTCAAATATTTAGATAAAATGATCTTGCACTTTAGTATTGGACATTTTATTTGGTGTAGGGCGATAAGTGACCTAGATACTGTGTAGATGGACATTGGGCTAAAAAACGTTGATAACCACTGAATTACACTCTTACAGCCAATCAGGACGCTGGAGGATCTCAGCATGAATAGCAATTTGTCTTTGTGGAAGCTCGTCTTCACCTCTGGGATCCACACTCACTAACCCCACACTGTCTCTACTTTCACCTTTTCTCCCTCGATAGACCTTAGTCAGGGTAGCGCCATATGTAATTTTTGACAGGAATGAAAACGAGGCTGTGAGGGACAGAAGTACAGTGTGTTCAAAAGATCTTACTGTTGTTTAACAACATACCGATTGTTCAGCTGACTAAACAAAAACTCTATAAAACAGTTTTGAAAGTTGTGAGTTTTGAAAAATAAATATATATATATATATTAAAAATTTTTCCCCGCATGCCATGTGCGGGCCTATTTATAAACAATTTTTGATATACATATAGTGGAAGCATGTTGCCTGTTGTTGTCTTGATTAATTAGGGGTTGTGAAATGTATATTTAAGATATTTATATTTCGTATTTGTTTTCCTACCTGCGTGTTCAAGGTCTAAGCGGAGCCATGGCGAGTATCAGTATGCGCTCCGGAGCCCCAGGTTCACCTACACACCTGAGTGCCAGCTCCGCCCCCAGTCGCCGCAGAAATGGTCTCCACGATGTGGACCTCAACACTTTCATTGCCGAGGAGATGGCGCTCCACCTCGACAACGGAACTCGGAAACGAAGTTCCTCACAGTGCAATGATGTCATAACAGACTCGCCCACTCACAAACGCAATAGGATGATCTGAGCTCTTAAGAAAAGAAAACAACAGCAAAATATGTGAAAAAATGCCACTCTTCAGTCATCCTCCCATCTTTATTCAGACCAGGAAATAAAAGCAGCCAATAACAGTGCTCCCCACAGCCCAGCACATTCTCTGATTGGTCTACAGAGCCCAGTTGAGGTGATCGGTGGGAGACAGTGTTCAGTGCAGAGGCCTAAGTGCCCTTCCATAGGATCCTGTCGACAAACACACAACCCTCATTCACTATATTGCTGCGTGAGCTGATTGTGTGCATGTAAGGTTGTGTTACAGCTGAACTGAGATGCGATCGGATACAGGAACAAGAAAACATTTTTGTGTGCATGTTCGCAACATAATGAGCAATGTCTGTATGATTGCGCGTGTATACAAGTACTTGATGTGTGTGAGTGTATGACTGATGAGTTTTGTGTTAGAGTGTTTGGTACCTGCCTCTTCCTCCAGCACCTGTCACTGCCCCAGCTCTCAGTTACCACGCTGCGGCTTTGAAAAGCAACAAATGTTTTATTTTAATATTATTGTCAATGTTATTCATGATGTCCCCCCCCCTTCTCTTAATTCTGCTCTAGTAGCAGGCACAAGTGTGACTGTGATAGCCATACGTCCGCTGTCATGCACATCTCTCAATCACTCTTACTTCAGTAATTTCCCTTCATTCTTCCTGAGCATCCATCTTTTTTTCCATTCATCCTCTTTTGTCACTCTTTTCCCCAGCACCTTTGTCTCCACTGTAACATTATGTAATGTAAATACTTGTAGGTGCTGACATAGACTTGTGGTACATATTGTAAAAAAAAAAAAAAAAAAAACAGTTAAGAAAATATAGTTGTCAATGTTGAAATTTCAAAAGGACATTGTAAACGTACTACAATATCAACATTGATTCGATTCACAAAACAGAAACAAAGCTCAGCAGTGTTTCAGCCTTCTACCATGGCGTTTGGGATTAAATGCTGGCTGGGAAGGCATGTCAGTACTTAAATCTGACAAATCTGTTTGAAAATGTATCTCCAGGTTCACATTTTGGGCCAGAGTGCCTCAATTCAGCTATCCCGAAGTCTCCCCACAAACATGCTCAGACAGGTTGGTGGCTCTATGAAGGGGCTGTGCCATGCCTTCCTGTAAATCCACACTAATGCACAAATCAGCATGGAAATCAGAGATCTGAAAAATAGCAATGACTAATCCATCCAGACCCACAGGAATCTCACGGGAAAGAAAACAACACACCCATGCCAAATGTCCACACTTGGTTCAGCCTAATAAATAAGATTCTTTGGAGATTTTTTTTTTAAATTCTGTTGCAATCCAATCAAATAACACAACAAACATGTGATTGAGCAAACAAAATCATACAGTGAATATAAAATCCCTTGTCAATATAATTCATTATATTCTTAAATTGTGAAATCTACAATGGAAACAATTGTATGCATGTTCCAAATACTTCATGTAAACTAACAAACTACTTGGCATGATTTTGAGAAGTCCTGGTAGCGTCAACAATTCAACGGCCATGGTAGAAGTGACTTCAAAGCCGTGTCCCTTGGCTGTTAAACAGTCTCTGCTATGTGTGTGCAGCCCCAGTCCACTCTCGGGAATGGTTCAGTGTGGTTTCAGAGCTCACTCTGCGACTGCATAAAGGTACAATCCCCACTCCCCAGGACAGTTGGAATAGCTGTGCCGTTTCTGTATTTGACTGTAGATCTCCTTTGTCTATTACACGGCTCTCTGGAATACTTGATTCTGATTGGTCAGTCCCCACCTTCAGCTGTCTGATATTTCCTAATATTCTGTGTCGCCCATGGCAGTACTGTATAATCCGTCTGCTCATATTGGTAAATTAAACTGGAGCTACGTTCTTGTCTCTTGTATCATGGCAGACTTGCTCTCTCTTGCAAGATACAACTGGCAATGATATTGATAATTACCTCAGAGGATTTACATTTTAATATTACTGCAATAGTTGCAGTTTTCGTCTTACTGCTTAGCTGATTGTTTTGTATGTTATAGTTGACCATTTTTAATAGCAGAAACTTGTAATATTATTACTATTGTCAATGTTATTCATGATGTCCCCCCCCCTTCTCTTAATTCTGCTCTAGTAGCAGGCACAAGTGTGACTGTGATAGCCATACGTCCGCTGTCATGCACATCTCTCAATCACTCTTACTTCAGTAATTTCCCTTCATTCTTCCTGAGCATCCATCTTTTTTTCCATTCATCCTCTTTTGTCACTCTTTTCCCCAGCACCTTTGTCTCCACTGTAACATTATGTAATGTAAATACTTGTAGGTGCTGACATAGACTTGTGGTACATATTGTAAAAAAAAAAAAAAAAAAAAGCTGTGCAGAGACCATTGAATTGTTAATGTACAATAATGATTCTTGCATTAAAGAAATCAAGCTTTTAACTACCTCTTTTTCTGCTACCTTTGTCATATGAGTCACATTTCAGAGCAAATAGGATTTTATCATTAAACTGGATTAAAATGCTAATATATTGAATGCACATTCTGTTGTATAAAAAGTACAATCTGTTACTGTTCCATTTGACAATCTGTGAACAACAGCTGCCAATAACAATGCTTTCAAAATGATTGCTTGTTCCCATGTGTTCAGTTGTGTTTGAACACTCAATGAATGTGCCTCCATAGGCTGGAGATGCTACAGCCCCACAATACTAGCTACAATCCAACAATTTAGTTTTTGACACGTCATGTCAAGCATAACGGAAATGTAAAGAGTTGTTAATAGGGTTTTGTAGAACTAAAAATGCAAAGAAATTAGTTGTGTGGAAAGAACTGAAGGAATCAAATATCAACACTGACAATTCTTTGTTTCTTTCTTAGAGTTGTTGAAATGTGTTTGGCAGGTGTCAACAGTATGACATGCTATACTCTTATCTAAAATGATTTTAAATTCTTTAATTTCTTTGAAGAAAACTTAAAAAATCATGTAACATTATTACAGATACAGCACCAGCACCATTAAAACTGTAACAAAACTTATAAAGATTTTCCTTTATACCATCATATACATTTTAACCTGAAATCATGCTTAAACTAAGATATGACATATACAGGCTTAAAGGGATAGTTAACCCGAAAATGACAGTTCTGTCAACATTTACTCGACTTTTTTTTAAATTTATTTTTTTAAATCAGTTTTGGAAGAACATGAAGGGTGGGTAAATACATTTTGGGTAAACTATCTCTGTAAATATTTTAATTTATGCTATACCCTCTCTCTTCACTGTTCAATGAATTCTATAACTACATCTACACTAACAATTATTTCACAAAATGACAGATTCAGAAAGCTGCTGATAAACTTCATAGAAGGCAAACCCATATTAATGTAATATAACTATACAGTAGTAGCAAGAACTATGATATCTTTGGTACTTTGAAACTATTAATGGTTTTCATGAAATTTTTGTCATTAAAGTAAAATAAAAATCTGCTAAGATTTCTTATCCATGCAATGGCAATAACTGAAGAAATGAAGTCTCAAAATTATTAAAAATAACTAAAAGTGACGTGCAATATATATATATATATATTTTTTTTTTTTATATATATAAATGAAGTAGAATTAATTAAATATAAAACATTACGTATAAAAATAAAATTTTTATGTGTTTTCTGGAGCTATAAGATTGGATGGACAGACTGAAACTGTCTAGTGAATTCACTTTATGAGTGAATAACGACCTACAACAATAGTATGAAATTGAATAGCCTATTTTTAATGATGATTTTGTTATTTGAAATCTTCACTGACCATTCGAGCGACCAGGATATTCTTCAAAGAATCTCCTTTAGTGTTCCACATAATAATCAAAACGATACGGATTTTAGAAAACGGTGAGGGTGAAGTGATGACCGTTTTTATTTTTGGGTGAGCTATCTCTTTAAGATGTTCTTAAATTCAACACACCTTTATTTAGTTGTTCTGTGTCACACGTTTTACCCCTCACTCGTTCGCCATCGATTTCGCAACACCCCCCCTCGCGGAACCTGTTGTTTCATTGATAGAACGCGCGCTTCAGGGGTGTAACTATCCCCTATTTCTATGGTAACAGTCCGCCGCTCTCTGTACAATGTCATCGGCTCCGCATTCCTTTACGCCGCTGTCCTCCGAATCATCCTCGCTTCTCTCAGTAAAGAGGACCGTGAGCCTGTCACCATAGCAACACGTTACATATCTAGAAGTAATATTTATCCTTCCTAGCGAAGAGAAACAGGCTTTTTTTTATCTTTTGTTGCGTAATGCCGATTAGTCACCACTAGAGGGTAGCAGTTAACAACACAAAGAAGCGTGACGACGAGAGCATGAAAAATCAGATCCGTCAAAACACCAACTTGCTCTTGCAGATCGCGTCTTGTCGACATAGAGTGTCTGTAAATGAGGTAAAAGCATCTTTTGAAAGTAGTTTTGGCGTGAAAAAGGGCAACACAAGGTGGTTTTCTCTCTCTTTGAAGAGAAATAAGAGAGGGAGGGGGACTTGGAGAGAGAAATTTCTGTAAAGAAGATGAGCTCACTGGTGCTGTGCTGAATGAGAAAAACCACAAACAAAGCTTCATGAGTGGGTAGAGGGAGAGAGAAAGAGAAGGAAAGAGAAAAAAGCAGAAAATAAATGTGTATTTAAACAAATAAATAAATAAATGTGCCTGTCTGTAATGCACAGCAAACACTTAATAATGCACACCAAAAAAAAAAAATTACATAAAAAAATTAAACTTGTGTCATCATCTACTCATCCTCCTGTCATTCTAAACCTGAATGATTTTCTTCTAACAAAAGGAGATGTTAGGCAGAATAGGCTATAATGAAAATTCTAATCAAAATGATTTCCTATTATTTTATTATTATTATTATTTTACAACATGAATGGTGACTGAGGCTGTCATTCTCAGCATTTAAAGGAATAGATGACCCAAAAATGAAAATTTGCTGAAAATACTCACCCTCATGCCATCCAAAATGTAGATGAGATTGTTTCTTCATCGGAACAGATTTGGAAAAATGTAGCATTAAATGACTTGCTCAACAATGGATCCTCTGCAGTGAATGGGTGCCGTCAGAATGAGAGTCCAAACAGCTGATAAAAACATCACAATAATCCACACGACTCCAGTTCATCAGTTGATGTCTTGTGAAGTGAAAAGCTGCATGTTTGTAAGAAACTAACCCATCAATAAACCATCGCTTAAAAACATTGAAAACAACTTGATGGATTTGTTTATTACAAACAAGCATCTTTTTGCTTCACAAGGCATTAATTGGTGGAGTGGTGTTGTGTCGATTACCTGTGGATTACTTACAATTGCTGTAATACAAAATCTGTTCAAATGAAGAAAAAAAAACTCTTGGATGGCCTGAGGGCAGGGACGTGCACAGACATTTTGTGGGGCAGGGGCTGAAGTGGAATAAAGGGCACTTCTCATATTTATTTTTCATTTTTTCTAAACAAAACTTTAAATATATTAGGGGTGTGCAATAGTGACAAAAATAGATCTCAATATT